ACGCTCCTTGCGTTTCGCATCGGAACTCCCAGTTCTTGTGTGTGCGAATTTGCACTCTTGTCCGCGCGAACAGTATCCACGCGCGAAGTCCCTGCACGCATCAATCGCAGGAGCGCCGGGCGACGTAGACCTGGGCCTCCTTGGGGGCTCGCCCCTAGGGCTAGGCGTACGCCGCTTGTCCTGCTCCCGATTCCTGGGAGAGTACCTGTCCCTTCGATGAGGACTTGGGGTATTACCGGTCCTCTTCCTCGGATCGCTAGGAGGCCGATTAGGCCTATGGGAATCTCCAAACGGAGATCGTCTCCTAACGGGAGGACCAGGAGCACCAGGTTTCTGGGCTCTGTCCCTGGACTGAGATCGTTCGTAAAAGTCTTTGTGCATATTGACCTGATTCTTACGAACCCTCCAGCGGTCAATTTCGTTCTTGCAACGAGCACGAAGCCATTCATAGCTACAAACATCAGGGTTGGATATGTTCCTATCCCATTCCCTGATATCATGAGCCAAACAGTTGAGGTGTCTAACCTTCTCACTGAATAGCGACCGCTTTACCTGTTCGGTCAGCGGTTCATCGAGACCCGCAAGGATGTGATCCCACTTCGCGATGAACCTTTCAAGTCGCTCCTCTTCAGTATAGAAAGATGACACACTGCATCGCAAGTTTGAGAGCTCGATTATCCTGAACGATTGCTCTCCGATATTCGCAGTCCTTAAGTGGTCGTATAAGAGCCACAGGATCTGCCTACTCTTGATGCGATTGTTGGAGCGTTGAGCGGCTTCGGTGAGACGATTAATCTTATCGATAATTGCAACAGTTTTGATGCACTTCCGAATGGCTGCATTGAACCTGGCTTCAAGGATGTGGTATTTACATTCCCCGTCCAGCTCATCAAAGGTCTTTGCCTTCTCGACTTCAGTTAGCCAATTGATGACGTAAAGTCCATCATAGCTGTAGGCATTGCTAACAGCTTCCTTCATATTGGCTATCCATACCCTCAGCCCAGCCGCGTCGGGCTCTGGCGGGAGGTCTATGGGAATGCACTTAGTCGCAGCTGTACAGTTCGGATCATGGTGGCTACTGTACCCGCCGCCACCAGTTCCGAAAAGATGCTGTGGAACCTGAGAACTACCGATTGATAATGCACATACAGGACAAAGGCGAGTAGCCTTCGGAATGCAAATCTCACATGCCCTTTTCATGCATATCTTACATTCCTCAATTTTTCTGGGGTCACGAATATCCCGATCACACATCCGACATTTCTTGTCAGGAGGATCGGGGCCACGCATGGTCGGCGGCTCAAGGCCTGAAGGATCCTTCGGCCTTGTACCGTTGGGATCAAATCCTGGATAATATCCGGTTTCACGTTTATCCAGGGGCACGGGTTGCGCAGCCTTCGGAGGACTCTGAAGGTCAGCCCCGTTGGGTTGACCCCCAGTTGGAGTGTCACGGAATCTGTCAACGGGTGGCCGCAGAGGCGGCGAGAACGACCGCGTCGGGTTCGTCTCAGGTACGCCTCCAGGCGATCTATTCCTGACACGGTTACCATCGGGATCCCTTCTTCTCCTTCTCCTAGTTTCGTCCCTAAGGCACGCAAGACAACAGGGACCCTGGACAAATCCAAATCTCCTGTAGTCGTCCTGCCCAGCAGAATGTCTGGTGCAGTAGTAGGTCTTACAAAACTGACACTCAATTCCCTTGGTCAGGAACGAGCTCTCCCTACAGACTCCGCATCGGGGTCCGTTTCGGGAACATTCTTCACACAGGTTCTCTTTAAACGAGAAGCAATACTCACAAATATCACCTCTGCATCCCTTGCAGTGAAACTCAGCCATGAGATGATTATACCCATCACCTACGTATTTACATCTGGGTTTACCAGGGTTGCCAGGGTTCCCACCGGCGGCACTCTTCTTCCCCCCTCCTCCTGGGCTTTGCCAATCTGGAGGAGGAGGTGGTGGAGGATCATCATCAGGAGGGCCAGGTGGAGGTGGCCGCTTATCCGGAGTACGGGATGCGGCACGCCTTCCTCCTGTGTGATCGTTCAATCCACTACTTGAGGCCTGGTTCGAGTGCCTTGACTCTAGGGAGTTAATTCTCTGGGCCGTATTACCCAGCACCTCGAGCATTTGCTCGAGCTTACTGTTGAGCGTAGTCGAAACGGCCATGTTATGAGTATTTTGCTTGTCCGTGTAGGATTTGCAGTCCCTTGACTTTATCTCAAGGTTGGCTTGTGTCTCATAAAGTTGGTCTTTAACCCACTTTATGCCGTCCCTATCATTGGTCCAGCGTTGTTCGACATCTTGCATCATCCTATCAATCTTGACATACCCTAGTGGACAGGTCCTCGATTTTGAGGTTTACTCCACCAATCGCAGGATGGTTGGATTGGCTCTCCACTAGAGATCTCTCGATCATATCAACACGAGCTATAAGCCCGGTTACTCGATCAGAAAGAGATTCAAAAACAGTTTGAACCTGGGTGATGGAGCGAGCAACATCATCATAGCTGGCTCGCTCATTTAGGGCATCGCCTATGCTTATCATGCGATTGGAAACGATCTTGACGCGTTGGCCAAGCTCGATCACAATGTCCTTAGTCCCTTGTGACAGCTGCATGGCCGCATTTGCAGCCTGCATACACGTGCTACTCACATGGACGCATTGGTCGTATTTGGCCCTCCACGAGTTAACCTCAGTGGAGAGCTGCTTGATGCATTGATCACTTCTATCATTCCTACGCCCAAGGTCTTCGACCTTAGCAACCAGGCGATGAATGATCGCACTTACCGAAGAGTCCACTCTCCCTCTTTCAAGGGCTGTTACAAGATCAGCAACCTCGTTGGGTTGCTCCTCACTCGTAGGACCAAACCCTGATCCGCGATCTCGAGGAGTGGACAAATCAACCATGATTGGATTAGATCTCAGAGGAGTTCTGAAATCATCCTGCACGGCCGTTGATGGTCGTGGGAACTCACTCCGATTAGGAGATTGACTCTGATACGGAGCAGATCTCCTAGCATCACGAACCGCAGAGGGCTGTGTCATGCCCAGGCCTTTGGCCACTGACAGTTTGGGAACAACAGGCCTATCCGTCCGCATAGGAACATCAGGTCTCGAGCCAGCAATAACAATGTCATTCAAGTCGGTCGCATTGGACACTCTAGACTCAGACATCGATTCAATATCAGTCGCATTACTGATGGTATGATTGCGACTAGAACTGGATGCCATCATGGACTCAGATTCTATCGGAACATTAGCTCCGTCCATGTCGTCCAGAGCGAAAATGGAAGCCGCGTTGGGCGTAGGGCGAACACCTTGTGCGTTCAAGCCATTTGACCTATTAAATTCCTCCTGGAATGCTTCGATCCCATCAAGCACGTTAACGAGTGTGTCCGCGTTTAACGGGTCTCTGCCAATGATCGACGCTGGATCACCTGATCGACCGCGTCCTGAGTCCCGCGTATTGGGGTTACCCCTGTGGGCAGTTTCCCGATCCCCCTTGCCCTATGCGATCCAGTCGAATTTGACCTTGATCGTTTGCTTGGGGTTGGACTGGGATGGCTCGTCATCATCACATCCTGAGACGGAATCATCATGGCCAGGACGATTAGACCCACGACCCTGAGAGCGATTAGCTCTTGAGGCATTAGACGATAGATCATCAGTGCGAGTAGCACTGGATCTCCCTGAAGGCATTGCTTCTGAAAAAGTGTGGTCCGACAAAAAGTCAGGACCGGAAAACATCGGCTGTCCGGGCACTTGGTCGTCATTCACAACGTCCAAGATTCCGGCCTGGCCGAGAACCCACTCATCGGTCACCACATGAGGTCCGTCCTCAGTGATTCCCGCCATGACGCCTACAGAAACCTACGGTACCTGCAGGGTTATTATTAAAAAGGGTTCGCGGTGCCAACCGAGGACGAATCCTACGGCTGATAACCTGCGAAAGGGTTTGAAACAGAGTTTCGGGATGGATAAAACAGGCCCTAACCCACCAACAAGAAGAGACCACCTTATCCCCCCGGTCCCAAGGGCAAAGCAGTTGCCCCCGGCCGGCACAAACACGAACCAAAAGGGGTGCCAGTTTAACAAACAGAAGAAAGAGCCCAGCAAGGGCAAGCAGCGCAGCAAGCGCAAGAGCAGCAGCACCAACGCAGGCGAGCAAGCAAAGCAAAGCGAGCAAGCGAGCAAACAATATACACACCAACCCCAAACAGTCCTCGATCTGACCCCGCCAAAGAGCAACACCACAGCCAGGTACAGCCGCCGCTTTTCCAGCTAGCGGATGTCCGGCCGTGCCGTGAAGTAATGGCGCCGGGAACAGCAATTATGTTTGCCGGGTTGAAAAGCTTGAGCCAAATACCGCGTTGGGTAATGGCGTACTACAAACTGCTATGATAAAAGTACATGCCCCCAAAAACACTTAAAAAAAGACTCGGCCAACATGGAGCAGTAAATCATGTGCGTCCAGCATATGGAACTTATCTACAAGTAGTTTGGGAGGAATCAACAAACATACAGCTCGTTGAAGCTCCAGGCAACCAAGAACCAAGAACCAACATTGCTCAGGGCTCCCATCAAATGTTGGTCCCAAACGAAGAAACCCACAAGTCATAAATCGCTTTCAAGCTCCTGGAGATCAACCTGCCTCAAGCAACCTTAAGCTGACCCCTAAACCAACCCTAAACCCTAACCCTGAACCCACCCAAACCAAAGCCAACCCAACGCAACCCACAGCAATCACAACCCAACCGCAACTTGTCTGACCCATGATCATTGGGGTGAGCTGCTGGCAACGCTGTGCCATACAGCTTCCAATATACATATATACATATATACATTTATACATACATATGTCTGTATATATATATATATCGTATCCATGAGCATTGATTCCAAAGAAAGATTCGTGGTATTTGTCAGTGTCCACTGCCATCTCCAAACGCTCAAAACATCTTGGCCGCTCTGCGACTTCGCCCATTGAGCCCGCGGCGTTCTGGGGCGCGCCCATTGGCTGGCCAGGCGTGTCAACGACGACCAGCTCCTGGCAGACTCTCATCCACTGCTTTGCACATGCTGGAGTTGTGTTTATAGGATACGGTCGTTTTGAAGGGAAACCAAAAAACTGTTTGGGGGGGAAGGGGTTCCCCTTTCGCACAAACCTATATCAGGCCATCGGCCATACCACAAGAATCAATAGGGACCACCAGAAAACGCGGCCCTGGCATTGTTGACAGTTGCTCAGCCCAGCTCACACTTGGATCAGGGTTGTTGATCATGCAGTGAGATGTGCCCTGGCCCTTCTAAATGTATATTAACCTCTGGCATAATCCTTTCACTGTTGGGTCAACTAGCCATAGGCACGGCTTAGAAGCTAGACATTTTGGGGGCTAAACAAACTGGCCATGGGTTCACTTGTGTATTTATTCAGCCCCCCGAGCCAAGGCGGCAAACCTTTAAAATCCACTTCTGCCGATGAGAGACTCGGCGAGCGATTGAAACACACCAGTGGGAGGGAGCTTGGGCTGACTTCCTGCTTCAGTTCAACGGCATTGTATTGAGGAGCTTGCTAGAGCTTCCAGCATGTGACCATCTTGAACTCATGTTGAGATTTTTGGACCCAGGTATAGACTGCCAGCCAGGCTGCTGCGGCCTGTGACCAAATTCCCCAAACCGGTGAGTTTGCCGCCGCACCCGCAAAAAGATTAGACACACGCACAAGTACACACCAAGCAAATGCCGACCCGCCTTCCAGCCCAGAAGGGGGGCCCCCAACGCTTGCGTGTCTGTGAGCAATAGCAGCTTTCCTCTGGGTGTCCTTTGGTGGATGTTATAGCGGTGGCAAATGGGTGTGAAAGGTGGAAAACACACCTGGGTGTTAGTGCGTTTGACCCGAAACACCGCGCGGCGCCTCCTCGCTGCTCCAAGGGCTCTCCGCCGCCGCCTCGGTGCACCGCACCTTGCCGCGGAAGGCCACGGGGCTGCGGCTCGGCAGCCCGAAGACCTGGCAGAAAGTGGCGGGGGGGTTGGGTCTGCCATCGGACCAATCGAGGAGCCTGGATTTGGACGTCTCATGGAACACCATCCTTTCCCAACTGGGCTTCTCTCAACTGGGCAGTCCGTTTTCAGATCCCCTGCTAAAAGCTTTTTGTTTAAGTCTTAGTGGGTTAAATGGCAGCCGACTTTGCTCTGCATTCTCGCTTGGCGGATGATGATTGAAATACCGCCTCTTTCTCGCTTCCTGTCTTGTCTTGCTTCCTTGCTGTCCTTTTACTTTCTGTCCCCCTTCTGTCCTTTCCTGCTTTTTTTAGCAGTTTCGTTGTTTTATCTTCCTTTCCATCAACATGGCTGCTCGAACAAAGAGGCAAAACGGTTTGTTGCCTTTCGGTGGCTTCGGCTTTGGTAGGCTGACTAGAGTCTTGCGCGACTCCACTTCTGACCACCTCTTGCGCCTGCGCCACTTTTCTCAAGCCGCAAACTCTAAGGACCTGCGGCCCTCTCAGAAGGCCATCCTCGGCTGTTGGCTTTAAATCTGCGGAAAACTCTCGGCGTCCGGCCGCTTGCGGGCGAAAAAGGTCCTGCTGCCTTAACTGTCGCTTCTGGGCCCGTTGACCCAGCAGAATCCTGGCATTCTGGTCTAAAGTCAATAAGCTTCATGCCCCTCGAACTGTTTAAGGTGGCTTGAAGGGGGGCTTTGAGGTGGCTTGAGAATTGTTTACTTGTAGGAGTTGCTTGACTTGTGGTCAGACTTCTGGTCGGGGCCCAGCTCACCTCCGCCTAGGCTTCGCTCGCTCATCTCAGTGCTTGCCCTGGCTACCGTTGGAGAGCACGCCCTTCTCGCCCTTGAGGGCTTTCTTGGCGCAGCTCAGCACGTTGTCCGCGTTGAAGCCGAACCTGAGGCAGCATGGGCCGAATCCATTGACACGCCATGGGTCAAAACCCAAATCGTACCCCCAGTGAACATCCCAATCCTCACTAAAATGGACTAAAATGGGTGGTGCACCTACCCCAAGATGGTACCATTGCTTTTGACCCACAGCCACATGTCGGCAAAAAAAAAGTTTTCAGATGTTTTCAGTTGGAGCCCATACTGTGCTAGCAGATGTACATCAACAACCTACGGTGTTGCGTGGAGCCCGTTTCCCAAGCAATCCTGGACCCTGAGTCACGTCTGCCCTACGTGTGACGCTCTGTGAAGAAACAGAAACGAACAAAGTCAATCCCAAGGAGCTTAAATGGCTGGTTTCCCCTTTGGCTGCGCTTGAATCCAGCCCGAAAAGGGGTTTGACTGATTCCAGGGCCACGCAGCGAAACAACAGGCTTCACGGTGGTATCCTTTCAAGCGTGATTATCTTTACAAGATCCAACTCGTTGATACGCCCCCTGAAAACTCCCCGTGTTCAAACATCTTCACACCATCGTGTCGGTTTCCCTTCAAGGGGAGCATGACAACTGATGGTGTCACGAATGCAAGTTAGGCCATCCTCTAGATGTTGTACATCTCATGTCACCTTTTTGGTGTTCTTCATCCAACCACACTGCGAATCCTCAGCTAGGTCCTCCAGTAGAGAAGTTAGACTAAGGGTCCCTTTCTTCTGTGGTCTATTTTAGTAGGGGGAAAAGGGCTCCAAGGGCACTACTGGGGGACCTAGTCAGCCCACCCGTTGCTTCCGCCCTTCCCATGAGGCGTGGGGCTTGTCCAGGCAGGTCCCCCCCGGCGCGGAGGCCCCGAAGACGTCGATGCCCACGAAGGCGTCCGCGAACTCGCCCCAGCCCGCGGTGCAGGCGGCCTCTACGCTCATCTTGGGCACCTCAAAGTGGGAGGGGTGCCAGGGGTGGAGGGGTGGAGGGGAGCAGGTGATGGCCCCACCCCGCGGGGGCCCCGGGTCTTGGCTCTGGGCTGTTTTCAGTAAAGAAACCAAACAAAAATGCGCCCCCCCCCCCAACCACGGGTTTTGGTTATGTGATGGCTTTTGTTGAGGGAAACCCAAGGGATACGGTAGATGGATGGCAAGAAACTGAAGTGAGTCATAATCAAAACCTGGCACGGGAAAACGAAAGGAAAGCTTGGCTTAAAAGGCCATCAGGCTGGAACTTATTTGAATCAGGAATCAGGAATGCCCTTTAAAGTGGTTGGTGGACACAAATCCCCACCGAAACGATGTCCGCCTGAGGGTCCCCCATCAAAATGCATCCGCATTTTAGTTGCTCCCAGCTCTCTCTTTCTCTCTCTCTGCGAGGCGCGTCGGCCGGCAGCAGCTCGGACTTGTAGCTGTCCGGCTGAGCCCGGAAGATCTCGCAGGAGGGCATGGACACCACCCGCACCTGCGCATCAAGACCGGCGCCGCTTGATGGCCAGGGCCAACCATGGGATTTCATGGTCATGACACCTGCGGTTGCTGATCCAGCGAAAATAACTGTAGCAGTCTCCCGAATACAAACAAGGAACAAGTATGGCGAAATTGCAGCATTCTAGGTATCCACACCGTGAATTCAAGCGTCAACGATAGCTGACCAAAGTCAGGTTTCCAATTTCAATACAGGTCATGGGTCAAGGCATCAAGCACTACGTGTTATACCAGCAACCCGCCCTATCTTCCCCTCGGTCTCCAGGCCTAGACCTCACCGGAACAGGTATAAGTTTTCGGGAGAACCAGCTCCCAAACGTGGTACCGATCATGGGCCCAAAGCCACAACCAAAGTTGAAACCAAGCCCTTTTGGGATCCCAGCTGCACCACTTCCATACCAAACACCAGCACTCGAAAGTGAAACTGAACCGTTTGGTCACACCGTCCGGCCGAGGCCCGCCTTGTCCATCTGCTTGGCCGCGTCGATGCAGATGCCCACCTCCGAGCCGGTGCCAATGATGATCAGCTCCGGGTCCTTGCACTCGATGACCTCGGAGCCACTTCCAGGGAGCTTTTTATCGGCAAGGCGAGGGACAGGGACGGACGCGGCTGGCAAGGACCAAGCGAACACGTGCTGGATGCAGAAGCTCCCTAAAGAGAGGCTTCAAAGTGACTTGCTAGGCTTTATAGGGCCTATCTAGGCACGCAGGGGTGGGGGAATCTAGGCTGGCGAAGGCGTACGTGCAATGGCTGAACAGACAACCAAAATTGCCTGCAGGCTTTCGCGCTGCAGCCACCCTCCGAGGAAGTTTTACCAGAAATGCCCAGTGCGCATCAACCCAACTTGCTCCATGCCTCTTTTTGACTATTTGATCAGGCAACGGTGCGCACGTTGCACGAAAGTTCTATGACATTTTGATGATTGGCAACATCAAGTCTGAAAAATGGACACGGCTAGGCATTGGCGGAGGTCCTGTCCCCTTCCCGCCTCATAGGCACCCTTCATGGTGTTCTCGATGGAGGAGTTGGGGATGTTGTCCAGCGCCTGCCGGGAAAAGGCCATCATCGTAGGCCGGGACCTCAGCCAGGGAAGGCGTGTGCCCGGAGTCTGCTCGACTTCTAGCTGTCTTCTGTATTTTCAGACCAAGCCATCTGGAGATCAATTAGATTGACATTTTTTCCAGACTTCCAATCCTCTCAGCAATTTCGTGTCTGCCGATTGTTGAGGATGTGTTGGTTGCAGTTCGCCACTGAACGTTGGATTCGAATTGTCTGCCGGATGGCGACGGCGTCGGCGGTCGAGTGAAGGGTTTCTGTGCTGACCACTCGTGGTGCAGCTTATTGGGCGCCGTTCACTCCGAGAGTTATGCCCCAGTCTTCAAGTCCATGTGCCCAAATCCCTATAAAAAGCAAAAAGCCATAACCATGTTAACATGTCGCAGGCTGCAAAAAGTGTTGTTCTCCCCTCCTCCAATGGGGCAACGGAGCAGCGAGGGCCCCTCACCCTTCCCAAAATCGGCCGATCGAAGGCGCTCGTTCTTGGAGCGCTCCACCGCGTAGGCGTAGGCGCCGGCGGTCTCATTGCCGTCGGCTGGGCGGATCACTGTGAGGTCGGGGATGAGGCGCAGGGAGGGGATGGTCTCGATGGGCTGATGCGTGGGGCCATCCTGACCGTCCCCAACAGCTGAAAGCTTTGGGGTCTCAGCCCAGATAGGCTTCGGGGTGGTGCGGGGCGGCCCTGAGGTAAGGTTCCACGAGGGCTCCAGCAGGGTTCCACCAGGGTTCCACGAGGGTTCCAGCGAGGGCTGCGGGGTGGTGCGAGCACTAAAAAGAGCACCGCATGTTGTTGGGGATATCACCTGAGCTTATTCGGTTTGGGCAACTGTTAATTGATGTCAATGCTCGGAGCTGACTAGCGTGACTTGCGTGCTGACATTGGGCCCACCCAGCGCCTCACCCACGGCGATGGAGTCGTGAGTCGTCACGAAGATGGTGCCCGCCTGGGACAGCGCGGCGATGCGAATGGCGCCGCGCATGTAGTCGGTGAAGATGGTGAAGGTGGCGCAGTAGGGGATGATGCCTGCACAAATTCTTACCTTGACCAAATTACACCAGGCCCTGGTTTGGAGCCCGTACGAGTACCTAACTCGGCTAACGAACTATAAGCCTTGCGGAATCTGGCGATATGTCTGCACTTTCTTGGTTTGCAGTCACTCCGAAAGGAGATCCTTAAACTCGGACTCGCATTCCCATTCATCCGCAACTTGTTGGAATTTTATCTCTCCCACTGCTAGGTTCCATCAGAAAACACGTCCACAAACCAACATGGGGCGGACCCTGCTGCGCTTTCCCAAGCTTGACTCATGGTAGACGTTGGAAGGGGAGCAAAATTCAAATTTTAGCAGTTAAGTGGTTGGATTTCAACCACTAAACCACAATAAGCAAAAATGTAAAATGTGTCCCAACAACAACCATGGACTGGGCGCCTGTCTTGTCCAGGGACATGGCGTTGCACACCGCGCCCATGCCGAACTCGCGGATGCCGAAGCGCATGTTGCGCTCCGAGTAGCTGCCCGACAAAAAGTCCCCGGTGCACTTCATCAGCGTCATGTTCCTGGAAACCCCCAGAGTTGCTGTGAGGAAAAGAACCTTTTTGGTGGATCGGCTTGAATAAAGACCCAACTTTAAGCAAAGAAACAAAACCAGGCTGTTCCTGAAACCCCAAGAGTTGCCCGGCTTGGTTTCTGTGAGGATGAACTGGAACAAAAATGGAAAACGAGTGACACTGAACAGCCTCTTGCTACCCTTTGCCACCCCTTTTGGGTTGATCAGCTGGAGCAAAGAACCAACTCGAAGCAACTGGAACAAAATACGACTACCACATGCCAACACAGCGGGGCAAGAATTGGCGCTTGAACATCCATAAGCCAAGCTTCGAGGGGGCCAGATCCGCCGACCCACCCATGAACTCCGGCAGCACATTGGCGATCGCGTTGAGGCAGTCCTGGAGCATTGTGGAAGAAAGGATCCATGAAAAACGTCAAGTGCGTCAACAACTTGAAACTTGCAAGAATTAGGAGAAGGTGGAATCATCGAAACTTTGACACGTGGAACCAACCAGAGAGCCTTCGTGCCAGATGTACCAACAAAAATGCATTTTGCATGCAGGGGCAGGCGCAGGTGTTTGAGCCTTGACCATTGAGAACCATCCCGATGCAGCCCGCATGGCGCCCCACCGCCCCACCGGGCCTGCGAGTGCAAGCGGGTGGCTTTGCCCTTGTCCTCTGTGGTCAACTTGGGCAGGCACTCCCGCCAGTTCCTGGGCCCGAGCCCGGGAAGGGAGCCCGTTACAAGGAGATGCGAAACGGAAAGCCGAGAGGAAACCAGTATAGGGCTGCCACTATTTTGAGACAAACCCAAATTTGGCCTGAAAAGGTCACATGCAAACTTCAGCTGGTTGGGGTCGTGGGTGACAAGGCAGAGCCCCATCTCACATGTAAAAGCGGTGGTGGCACCTCAACTGCAGCAATGCCCAGAAAATGTCTGAGCAGCTACTCACACCCGCCCAACGTTACACTATCGACGTGGTAAAGGCCAAAGTGCATCTACCAAAGACAACTGCTGCGCCTGTTTCCAAGGCTGCTCTGCTCACAAGCCGTCTCACACGCTAGCCTCAGAAGGGGCCCGTTCGACCCAGAAAGCGGTTGCGGCTGCGAAGCGCGCGTAGCTTGATCGTCAATAAAGATCGGAATCCTGCACATCATGCCTGTACACAACGCTTGCGTGCAAGCGCACATGGGCGGCTGCCAAAACTTGACGTTGACAATCATCTCATGGTTTTGCAACGCTTGCGACAAATTTGCTCATGGGCTGTTGCGTTTGCTTGCCCCATTCAACGCCCATGACTTTATCGCCGCACTGTGCTGCCTCCTTTCCGAGCCCTGGGCTCAATGCCAGCGTCGTCAACCTTCACGCGCCCGATAGGCGCGTCAGCAACTGAGGTGGCAGTCTGTCGAAGATCCGCACGGAGATGGCAAGGCCAAAGGGATGAGCGCAACACTGCGCGCCTGCAGGTGCAGAAGGCAAGTTGGGTCTTCCCCTTCTGCAGCTGCCCCGGCTGCAACAAAGTCTGCAGCGTCAGTCAAAATTTGCATCGGTGGCAACGCGGGCTGCGTTCTGGCCACTGGACCACTGGAGAGCTCGTCGTCCACGGGTCGGAGATTTCCGCGTAAAGCGCCTAATAGTATAGGACACCATTAGTGACCTTTCAAGCGGCCCACCTCGTGAGGCATGTAAAATCGCGGGCTTGCAAGGCGCGCTCGCGCAGCCTTCCCAGTTTCATCTGGCCCAGCCATCAGTACGGCCAAGGCGGCCATGGTCGCAGGCCGCTTGCAGCGCATGCAACAGCGCAGACCTCTCGGGCGCCAAGGCGCTGTTCAAGGTCTCAAGCGCTTCGGGCTCTGCGCTGTCCGGGCCAAGCGTGGACATGGCCAAGAACTGACATCGCCGCGTCATCAAGAACTGCTGCCAATTGGAAGAGCGACAGCAAAAACGCAGCAGAGTTCCAATACACCCCTTTTAGCATCAGGGGGGGCCGGCCGCGCGCTCAAACAAGCGCTTCTGGGCCGACAGCAGCGCTGCGCTGACGTGGTCGCGGGCGATTCTAGGGGGTCCCTGGCCACAGGCGATCCGCTTGACGCCAACAATCCCAGCCACACACTTTCTGCTTCAGCTGACCGCTTCTTGGCACGCGGGCGGGGCTGTCAAGGTCATCCTGTGTTGGGTCTTGCTCTTGACAGTTTGGCTGTCAAGCTCCAGGTTTACAGGGCTGGCTGTTGCAGTTGCTGGGCCCTGAGTAGCATGGCAGCACAAGGCTGCAAGGAAATCCGTAGCCCTTGGCAGCAGCGGGCGCTCCAATCTCACCCTTGAACCCCGAGTTTGGCCACCGTCCAGGCTCGGGCAGGGATCGGCCTCCCTCCAGAGACACGCAAGGTCCTGGTCATCCACAACTCCCCACTCATCAAGAAGCCGCCTCTGCAGCAAGAATGCATAGCTTCGATAAGACCATGGGCAGCGTGGAAATGATGAGGCCAACATTAAAGCAAATCAGGAGCTCAAAGCCAATTCCGCGTGGCCCTACACCCACCAGCCATTCAACACGCCAGGCGCAGCACTCGCCGCGCGCTTCTTGCGGCCACAGCTTCTCGGGGAGCTTGCGGTCCAGCACGGCCCGCTCGAACTGCGCGGCCAGCTCCGGCTCCTTCTCCTTCCCAGGTGGCTCAAAAAACCGGTAACATGGGTTGCCCTGGCAAGTGAAAACAAAGGCCAAAACCTGCGGTTTGCCCCTCCTGTTTAAGTTTGAGCCACACCCACATGGCAAACCGCAAACCCGCGCTTCCAGGCAAGCTACTGTGGATGGTTGCGAAATCCTCTTAGGCAGCACCTAAGAAGCCCTGGTTTCTAATGATTCCACAACGCAAATACCAACAAACAATGGTTTCCCGTGGTTTCAAAGTGGTGCAGGATTTCGTCCATCCACAGTATGTAATTAGCCCTTCTTAATGTGATTCAGGCCGCTTGTGACGGTCACAAGCGGGGCAGTAGGAGCGAGCGTGCGTCTGTTCACCCATGGAATTCAAGCTGGAACCAAGTAGGAGTCATAAAGCCATGGAAGATGCACTCTCCCAACCTACGACCTTGATACCCAGAAAGTTGCGGCCACCATCAGTCACCGTCTTTTGCCAAAAAGAGCATGAGGTTCTCGAAGATAACCTACCGGTTCTGAACCCGGGCCAGCAATGCAGGCATGCGAACACCCGCCAAAGGAGGTGGAAGCGTTGCTCAGTCCTGATACTCCTCCCACATCTTCTGCCATGCCTTCTGCTTCTCAGCCCCAGCCTTCGCGTGCTTGCCTTGGTCGACACCCAGTGCTGAGCCACGTTGAAATAGCGAAGCTTCGGGGGGAATGACCGACGCATCATGTAAGAGTTCCTGCAACAGGGGTTGGCTCGGAAGTGTCGTAAGCTTCACACATGATGCTTCAGGAGCATTTTTTAGCCTCGTCTAATTTTGTTGGATGTCGCCCAAGCAAGAGTGCAGAGAAAAGCGGAGGCATGAACCTCTTGAAATGGCCGGAAGTGTCGCTATCTCGTCCCATGAACATACGCACATGGTCTCCATGGTTGGCCATAAAGTGCGCCTTTGCGGAACGATGACATATATATATATATATATAATACGGACACATATATACATATTATATATTATTATATATGGGTGCCACAAATGTCTTGCAAAACCCAGCCCGCAACTAGCGCAACCTAAGCTGCGGAAGGTGTCATAGACCTGGTCCGGCACCTGCCAACAAGCAAAGTTTGGGGCGTTGCTTCCCTGCAACGCGTAGTGGCTGACAGCATGTAAAACATTTTTAATAAGTCAACTAAGTCAAATGCAACCAGCAATGAGTCATCTGAATCAGTCCACTGCCATGCCGACAACTAACACAATCCCTATCAAGCACACCTCCTCCTGCAGATGTTGACTTACGCCGACCTCCGGGGCTTTACCGGGTACCGGGGTCCCCCCAACTCCGCCACCTCCGCACCTTTCCAAACTTTCGCGCGCCTCGAACTCCCCGTAGCTCCAGCCCAGCTGCTTGCGGGTGGCCTCCGCCTCGTCCGCGCCCAGCGGCGCCCCGTGGGCGTCGTGGCTGTCCGCCTTGTTCGGGGACCCGAAGCCGATGGTGGTCTTCACCTGCCGCGCCGCTTCGCTTGCCGGGCACGGGCACGACCATAGGTGTCCTTTCTGGGGGAAACAGATGGATATCCCTGGTAGGTGAGGAAAAACCACCAGGTAAACCAGGGCCATCTATTTGTTTCAACCAAAACAACCAAACAGGACACCTATGGGCACGACCAGCAGCTCACGCTCTCTTCAGATCAGGCTGAGTCGTTGGAAACAAGCAAGCCACAATCGAAGCTCAGGAATATGTGCACTGGCGTTTTTCTGCCCAAGGCATCTTCTTTGGGTAAGGTCCAAAGGCGAGAATATTTCAAAACAGAGGGCCTGCCCTTTGCCAGCCCTTGATATAGTACATACTTAGACTAGATGAACAAGAAGAGCTTCTTTCAACACTAGGTTCACAGAAAGGCATAGCATAAAGGAAGTAACACCCCGAAATACAACCTGCAAATATTGACAAAAGCCCTGACTACCTCCCTTAAGCCAAATCCTCTTCTCCCAGCTTATCAAACTGCTCCCCTTCCGGGCCGCCTTGATGAGGGTGGGCTTGTCGCTGCACGCCTTGGCCTCTTTGATGGCCTTGCGGATGGCGTCCACGTCGGTGTTGCCCTCCGACACCGTCAGCACCTCGGGGGAAGCTGTCTGCAGTCGTCCTCTCGATGTTATTGACATGGGGAGAGCCCTTAGAAGACATCTTGTTTCTTGAAACGACGTAAATATTTGGGTAAGCCTTTTTTTTCCATGCGTCGGTGGCGGCTGCATTTGTTGGATATGTTGCGATTTCATGGGCCGGGTATTGATTCACTCGTTGCATGTAGTTCGCGTCCACGGGAGCAATGCCCGTGATTTCCCACGTATCCGAGGAAGAAAAAAAAAGTTGGAAAACAAAACGCGCTGCTGAGGAAAAACGGGTGCGAAACAAGCATTTTTTTAGAGCCGCCTGCCAGCCGTAGGCCTCAAAGCGCTTCCCCACATCCTCGGTGAAGGAGAGGTCAGTGTGCCCGTCAATGGTGATGCCTGCAGTCTCCAAGGGATGAGACTTGAACTCGCTTTTATTCAATCTTTTCTGTCTGCCGTTAATGCTGTAGTTAGTTTCTGTCAGTCTTTTTGGTCGATTGCCAGCTTTATCATGCGTTGCGTTGGCATGTGGGAAACATGTCTTCCATTTGGTTGTTAAGACCCTAGAAAAAATAAATATATTTCACGTAGTGATAGACTCCCTTTAAAACCAACAGGGGAAATAAATAAATAAATGGAAGATGCTTGTTGTTGCCTGGATGGATTCTGGAACCAGCCTGCCCATATGGCCCCCTCCCTCCATGACAGACCAAACAAGCCTCAAAAAAAACTGTCAAGCTCTTCGATCAGAGGTCCGCCTCGAAATGGTCCAAGGGAATCCGCGAAACTCACCCAATGCTCCTGCTCGGATCTCTCGCTATGTCCGTGGATGGGTGTGTCTTTCTTGAGGGCACCCCTCTTACCCCTCTTTTGTGAATTTCAAGTGAAACCAACAGAAAATCCACCAGTTTGGAGGTCCCCGAGAAAAAATAGGAAAAAAAGAAAAGAGGAAAAAAACTTGCAAAGGCGCCGTTGTCGTCGTAGAAGGCGATGAGCTTCCCGAGGCCCAGGTGCCCCGCGTAGGCGCAGGCCTCGTGGGAGATGCCCTCCTGCCTCGGGATGGCCCCCCTCCCGCCGGCGCCCAGATGAGGTCGACATGTTGTTCCAAACTGCTGCCGGTTTCAGTTGTGTGTGTGTGTGTCTGTGCGCATAGATTTGTACATGTATGTATATTACAACTCATGTATTTGCGTGTGAATATATGTAACATATGGAGGTAATTCATACATGTGTGTGTGTGTATGCGTACATATGATATTATGTGTGTAGCATTGAGTATGTCAATGTATGTACGCAGTATCAGGAAACACTCCAAAGCAAAGGAGCATGGGCTAGGAAATCCATATTTGCTAGAACACTAGACACATGCAGTAAGATGACCGAGCGAGCGAATCAGCCCTACCCGGAAAAGGCATGCCGGGCCAAAGATAAGTGATTGCAAAAAGTCATGATTCCTGTATGGAGGGCTCGGTGTGTACATCGCTGCGTGGATGGAGTCATCCCTTCCTGACTGAATCCTGGTCGCACCGGCTGGTTTGCGGTTGGACACTGCATGCTGACTTGTTCAGTGATACGTTCTCAAGTGCATAAGACTTAAGCAAGTTGCTACCTTTGTCTAGACCATATTCTCAATGGTCCAATCTGGCTACACACTTAATCCTCTGAAGTTAAAGGAATCAGGCATAGAACAACCCTGCGCTCAAATGAACTTCTTGACCCCTGCGCTCGGCTGCCCAGGCGCATGCAGCCATCCCCGGCGATGGTGTAGGTGTAGTGGTCGATCAAAGGCATGTCGGGCCTCGGACGCTTGAAGTGCCTGCCGACAACCGCCCCACAAACAAAGCCGCCCCTTCTAGTGACGGAAGGAAGAGAAAACAACGGCACTGGTCCTGGTCACCAATGTGACACCAGCGGGGGGTCCATCCCAATGGCTTTAAGGCTTTAAGGGGGTTGCTTTTGTAGAAAAAGTGAGCCCTTCAACCCTCCCAAACAAAGGGGACATCATGGGGGAACCCATTTTTAGACGTCCATTTTGACCCAACCTGAAACAGGGCCTCAAACTTAAAAACTCCTCCAAACCCCCACCCGCAAATCCAAATGGCCACCCCACCTCTCCCAAGCCCATGGGCTTCGACGGTCATAGGTGCCCTTGGGGAAATAGATGGATTTCCCGGGTAGATGAGCAACACCACCAGGTATGCCAGGAATCGAAACCCATCGATTTTTCGAGCAAAACAACCACCAAGGACACCTGTCAGCATCCAAATGGCCAGCCCCATTTTCCCCCGTGGGCTTCGACGTCAAACCCCGCCAGGTGGCTTGTTGTAGACGGCGGCCAGGTGCGCCTCCGCGGCAGCCAGGCCCACGGCGTTGGAGATGCCCATGCCCAGGGGCCCCGTGGTCACCTCGATGCCGTCCGTCTCGAAGTTCTCCGGGTGGCCTCCCCGAAGCGGCGAAGCACCCAGTCGCAGTCAGGTGCGTCTGAAAGAAAGAAAAAAAACGAGAGCCATATGCCTTGGCCAACTGTTTTTGACTACCAAAAACGTAGTGTCGGACATGTGCGGCTTTTGGAGGGGTACCTTGGCCTATTCAAAAAATGAAGGCCAAAGCCCGTACTGCCGGAAACAACTATGGCGTTTGGAGGACACCGGGGTACGCGGTGGTGGCTAATTGGTTGGAATACCAACTGGGTATTGTCGGAAATGTATGGCTTTTGGAGGAAATCGGGGTACGCGGCGGCCGAGGCGTACCCACAGCTGAAGTGCCAACTTGCCAACTTGCACCGCAACACAAGCGTTGCAAGCACTGCACAGTTGGTGCTGCACTTGGAGCTGCAGTCCGGCGTCAGGCATATGGAGCAGCCTATTCAGTACACTTTGGGCGGTGTGTTGGTGGCATCTGTGCCCCAGCAGCACGAGTCGTTCCCTCAACAATTCCAGTGTCCCATTTTTGGAAGAAACAAAAAGGATTGGCCTCGCTTCTGATGAATCAAGTCTGAGACTTGAAGGGCTCTCAACAAACCCACGCCCTTCCGTACGCCTCTCCTTTCCAAGCTCTGCTCACTGGAAGAGACTTACAGTAGCAAGGCTCACATCCTTCAAGCTTGCGGGCCAGTCTACGCAGTTAGAGTGCCAGCTTTGGTTGCGAAGACTTTGAGTTCTTACAGACAAGCATCCACGCATGCGGGCGTGCTGGAAACGCTGGCCATGACCGAAAAGCAAGCGCTTCGTGGTCCTTGCCGGGCGTTCGCCCCCATCCATCCCCCCTCCATCCCCCCCAGGCCTGGGGTCTTGGAGCCCCACTGGCGGAACTGCTTCAGGTCGTCCAGGCTCACGCTGTCGAAGCCCGCCAGGTGCAGCAGCGAGTACTGGAGCATGCACCCGTGCCCGGAGGACAGCACGAAGCGGTCCCGGTTCGCCTCAGGCACCGGGAAAAGACGGCGGGACCTAATTAGATCCTCCGATGGGAAAAGACCCGCCAAAGGACTGCCCACACGAATCTTTTGGGGCGTGTTCCAAATCGGCAAGCGAAGATGAATCAAACTCAGGACCACCCAATCAATGCTGTAGTTGTCTGTAAGGAATATCAAAAGTGGCCGCCTCCATGGTTCAGCAGGCTAAACGCTAATCTACTATCACCCCCGATGTTGCTTTTGACCAGGCAGTGCCGCTGCAAAGTTCGGGTGAACTTTCAGGTACCAGAAATCCAAATGCAAGTTGTCCGTCCCGTTCCCTGCCCCTTGCAATCGGGGCACCCACTTGGAGTCCTCAGGGTTGTACTGCATCTCCTCTGCGAAGAGCAAATATCCGATGGGCGCCTGGCCCATGGGGGCTCCCGGGTGGCCGCTGTTGGCCTTGTTCACCGCGTCCACCGCCAGGAAGCGAATGGCATTGATGCACTCGGTGTCCACGTCCACGTCCGTGGCCGTCCCCTGGCGCACCACCTGCGAAACAGTATCAAACGTACGCGACTCACTGTCTTGGACAAGCGTCTCGAACACGTTTCGAGCACGTTTCGAAGACGTTTCCGAGAGGTTTCGGGGGGAGGGGGGGGGGGTGTTGGGATGTTTCGCCTTGGGCGCCGTAGCGCGCTTCGGCCGCACCGCCCCCGCTGCGCCGGCCACCGCCACCGCCGCGCCGAGCACTGCGCCGGAGCTGCTGGAGGCGGTGGAAGCGGAGGCGGCGCCGCGGGTGGCTGAGGAAGGAGCCACCGCTCTGGTGACAGGAGACACGAAGCTGGGCGCCAGCCTAACAGAAGGCGGTGGGTGGTGCGAAAGGTTTGACCATGAGGTGACTCGCAACCACTGAAGCCTTCAACCAGGCCTGAAGCTGACAATAAACCGAACACACACCAACCTCAAACCCACAACCCCAAAGCCAGCCTCAACCACTTCAGCAGGGATGATGAACATGCTGACCGTCACTGTTGCATGTCAATTCTGGACTGTTATGCATTTTGACAAGGGTTCGTGCCTTCGCACCATAGAAGCTTGGGTCGGTGCAAAGCCAAAATGGCTTCTTCATGGAAGGTGTGTTGTTCCGTTTCGGTTGCCGACTTGCTCTTAGCGCAATGCGCCCAACAAACTTAGGCCAAGCCGCATGGTGGCTGCCGCGCCGGCCGCCGCTGCCGCCACGGCACGCTGAGATCGAGTGGTAGGCATCTCGAGGTAAAGCGGTGAAGGCAGACGCTGTAAGCCAAAATTGCTGAACCGGTTGCGCATCGGGTTTTAGGGCTGGAGATTTATCTCAACCTCGGGTATGTGTGTATGTTATTTGAGGTACCTTGACTTCTAGCTTTCCAGCATTCAGCGAGTTCGCAAAGGCGTACAGGCTCAACGGCAGCTCACCGACCAAGCATGGTAACTGCAGGATGTCCGCTCATGCACCCATGAATGATGAACACGGGCAAACGTCAGGGCAACAAACATATCCATTTTTGCCCGGGGGGGGGGGTGGGGAGTCTTATTGAAGAGAGTCCAACATTACCCCGAAAGAAGAGACGCCTGGGTGCGCTTGACTTTTTTCTCCACCAGCCCCAAACTCCAAGGACCTGTGGCCCTCTCTGAAGGCACATCGTCCCAAGCTTTGGCTTTAAATCCGCGGAAAACTCTCGTCTGGCCGCATGGCGAAAAACCTGCGCCTGCCTTACCTGCCTACCTGGGGCCCGAGCCACCAGATCTTCGTTTACTTCGCAAGGCCGCGGCCGGGCTGAAGGGCCCAGCTCAGTGCTTACCCTGGCTGCCGTCGGAAAGCACACCCTTCTCGCCCTTGAGGGCCTTCTTGGCGCAGCTCAGCACGTTGTCCGCGTTGAAGCCGAACCTGAAAGCTGAACAGGGCAGTCTCAAAACACACGGGACAGGCATGGGGAGAAAACTCGCAACTCAACCACTATAGCCAGAATCAGAAGAGCCCGAGATCCTTGCAGATCTATTTAGACATTGCGGCAAGAACACCGTACTGAGGCTTGAAGCGGAGCCCGAGAGCTTATGGCGACGACTCTTCCGTTGAAAGCTCCAATTGTCCATCAACAGCAAGCAAGTGTTGCTTCGTTGCTAAATCTCGTCCACCCACCTCCCTACCCACACCCATCCACGCACTCAGCCAGACAGGCATGGCAGAAGTGGCTCGGATTTTGCTTTGGGCAAGGCGTCCCAAGTATCGCGCTGACATTGAACGGGCATCCAAGTCCATCCAAGTGAAAACAGGATCGTTGCTTTGCTCCGCAATGTTACTTTCAGGTCCTGTACGAGGTGGGCAAGGAGTGATGGGACCCGCGCCCTGTAAGATACCTTTCAGCGCCCATCAGCACAGTGGCGCTGTGTCACCCAAGTGGGCTTCCCTGCTCTCTTCAAAGAGGACTTGCCCACTTCATCAGGGGATTCCAACTTGAGTTTTGTTGATTGAAAGTGGGATTCCTTAAAACCAGACATTCCCACAACCATGGTCCTTGTTTTCGTCTTTGACATCCCCATCGAGCCTGCTGCGTCCACCCCGCCAATCCCCAGCCCCGTTGCTTCCGCCCTTCCCATGAGGCGTGGGGCTTGTCCAGGCAGGTCCCCCCCGGCGCGGAGGCCCCGAAGACGTCGATGCCCACGAAGGCGTCCGCGAACTCGCCCCAGCCCGCGGTGCAGGCGGCCTCTACGCTCATCTTGGGCACCTCAAAGCGTGGAGGGGTGGAGGGGTGGAGGGGTGGAGGGGTGGAGGGGTGGAGGGGTGGAGGGGTGGAGGGGTGGAGGGGTGGAGGGGTGGAGGGGTGGAGGGGTGGAGGGGTGGAGGGGTGGAGGGGTGGAGGGGTGGAGGGGTGGAGGGGTGGAGGGGTGGAGGGGTGGAGGGGTGGAGGGGTGGAGGGGGGTGGAGGGGTGGAGGGGGGGGAGGGGTGGAGGGGGTGGAGGGGGAGGGGTGGAGGGGGGTGGAGGGGTGGAGGGGGGTGGAGGGGTGGAGGGGGGGGTGGAGGGGTGGAGGGGGTGGAGGGGTGGAGGGGGGTGGAGGGGTGGAGGGGGGTGGAGGGGTGGAGGGGGGTGGAGGGGTGGAGGGGGGTGGAGGGGTGGAGGGGTGGAGGGGTGGAGGGGTGGAGGGGTGGAGGGGTGGAGGGGTGGAGGGGTGGAGGGGTGGAGGGGTGGAGGGGTGGAGGGGTGGAGGGGTGGAGGGGTGGAGGGGAAAGGGGAGCAGGTGAGTTCTTGAAAGGGACACTTAAAGGAAGGATCCCAATTCAAAGTTTTGGGCTCTCAGATTTCAGTCACAGGTTGGCTTCCTTTCACGGATGCCAGCACCATCACTCTCTCCTCAGCTGTCTCTCTGAGGGTTGGACACTTTGGACCCACTGCTTGATATGGTCATCATTGGGTTTGCTAGGTCCCACATTGTCCCAACCAACAGAGACACAGCTGAGTCTCTCTCTCTGCGAGGCGCGTCGGCAGGCAGCAGCTCGGACTTGTAGCTGTCCGGCTGAGCCCGGAAGATCTCGCAGGAGGGCATGGACACCACCCGCACCTGCGCATCAAACCCCCCCTTCAACAGGCGCCAAAGGCCAGACATGCACGGCTTGAATGGACCAACTGACCAACAGCAGAATCTCATTACAAAGAACTTGAAAACGTGGGTAGTGCGAAATCACCGCCACAACTCTGCCAGTGTCAGGAGCTTTGCCGTGGTCTTGATGCCTGCCGCTGGTGATTGGGCAAAGACAAGAGGTCGAAAACCCTGAAAAAGCAAGCAACTGTGGCGAAATTACAGCAGTGACTACACAATTATGTGAAGGCAAACGTCAACGGCAACTGGCCAAATGAGTCTTTAAAGCAGGACCAAAAGCATCAAGCCTTAACAAAAGCGGAAGCATGAACCATTGGCAATGTCGCTGACGCATCAACAGCCAGTATCTGTCAACGCAAACTATTCCTCCAGCCAAACCCGGCGAGCCAGCGTGAAGCCAAGCCATTTTGGGGAACCCCTGCCGTGCACCCGGCCACATCCGAGGCCTTGTCCATCTGCTTGGCGGCCTCGATGCAGATGCCCACCTCCGAGCCGGTGCCGATGATGATCAGCTCTGGGTCCTTGCACTCGATGACCTCCGGAGGCCGCGTCCACTAAGCTCCGAAGCGGCTGGCAAGGCTCGGAGGAGCTAAGTGCCCCAAAAGTGTAGGGGTACCTTCCATTTCCGTTCTTTTCAGGGATCCGGATCTTTCTAGAAAACCTCCACACACCCAGGGAAAACGGATCCGGTTTTTGGAAAGACCCTATGGTTGAAAAGAATGGGGAATCGACCCCTAGAAAAAGGGGCTTTGGGCTGTTTGACCCTTGACAACCCAAGGGATGCCAAGGCAAAGGGATGCCAACACCAAGCTCCAACGACACCCCGGTCCCAGGCGTCTGACTCTGACAAATTTGCCTCCAGGTATCAATGTAGAAATCAACATAAATCAACGCCACATTTTTCGCATGATGATTGGCAACGTCAAGTCTTCAACGGACATGGGCATGATCTCAATCTCGCCTCAAACTGTGCTGCACTATTGTACTCTCTCCTGTCTCCTTCCCGCCTCATAGGCACCCTTCATGGTGTTCTCGATGGAGGAGTTGGGGATGTTGTCCAACGCCTGCCGGGAAAAGGCCATCATCGTAGGCCGGGACCTCAGCCAGGGAAGGCAAGGGGGCCCGGGGTCAGCTCGAAGTGGAAACCAAATCTTGGTTGCTTTCTGCTCCCCTGCTAAAAGCTTAACTTTTAGTGGCTTAATGGAAAACCTATTTGTTGGCAAAAAAGTAAAGTCCTAACATCCAAGCAAAATGCAGCAAAGAAATCCTTGCAATCTCCCCTAGGGCTGCATGCTTTTAAGACGCAGATTGAGATGGCTGATGTGTACAGATCGCAAGACGTCGGGCGTTAGCTGTCTGGCACTTGCTGACTTGTGCCTAGAAAGATTCGCCTTGACAGGTAACGCCGGAGTCTGTTCTGCCTGGCAGGAAACAATTGCCCCCGAGTGGTATCACCTTACCCCAAATTAATGATTTGGATGGGTGGTTTGGCGGTTCGAGCGTGGTTTCCCATGTACCTTCCACGACAGTCGGAGGTTCAAATCCCTAAACCACCAGTCCAAACCCCCAACCAAGGGTTACCTGAGCAGCACGCGATTAAATAATCAGTTGATATACAACTACAATACAGAAAAGGTTCCGGAAAATAGCTCTTCACCCACAATCAAACAGAGTACGCAATACAAGCATATTTCTCGGGTGGCACATATGAAAAAGAGTGTGGGCCAAAAGCAATACTAAGCCAGTAGATATAGACCCGAAACTAATTCAGGCTCTCTGCTGCTTTAATCCCTTACTCGAAAATGGTTGTCTTGAACATGTTTGTCCCGAGAAGGTAAGGGGGGAGCCCAGTTCAGCTAGCACACAAGGTACGGGCCATAGGGGACCGAATCTGACTTGCCACGTGTTTTGCCGGGTTTCCCTATTATGAACCCCCGCTTCGATGGTTTGAGGAAGATGTCAAAAAAATCCGTCACAAGAACCTTCATGAACTCATTGGGAATTTCATGCGCAAACCATTCAATGTGCTACGTTCCCGTGGAAGGCGCTCGTTCTTGGAGCGCTCCACCGCGTAAGCGTAGGCGCCGGCGGTCTCGTTGCCGTCAGCGGGGCGGATCACCGTGAGGTCGGGGATGAGGCGCAGGGAGGGGATGGTCTCGATGGGCTGATGCGTGGGGCCATCCTGGCCGGCCAATATGGCATTTGGTCTTATTCGTGTTGGGCACCTCTTAATTTATATGAAATGCTCGGAGCTGACTAGCGCGACTTGCTTGCTGACATTGCATGGCATTTGTGTTTATTCGTTTTGGGCAACGTTCATCAATGAATGTTAGTTGTTAATTCAGTTTATTGAATGCTTGGAGCTGACTACAGCGACTGGCTTACTGAGGTTGGGCCCACCCAGCGCGCGCCTCACCCACGGCGATGGAGTCGTGGGTCGTCACGAAGATGGTGCCCGCCTGGGACAACGCGGCGATGCGAATGGCGCCGCGCATGTAGTCGGTGAAGATGGTGAAGGTGGCGCAGTAGGGGATGATGCCTGCACAAATTCTTACCTTGACCAAAATACATCTTGTCCCTACAGAGCCCGCACCTAGCTCGGCTGGCCCAACGGGGTTTGAACCCCAAACCCGAATCCATGTGTCCAGATTGCCGATGTAGATTGGTGAAGAGGCTTCAAATTATGGAGGTTGTATAGGAATTCAAAGAACAGCGACAGCACACCAAGGAAGTAAGGACAGACATTGACATATCAAGATGCCGAAAGTTTGATACTTACAACCACTCTCATGCACTAATTTCCACCTGGTGGAGGATACATTTCTCACCACCAATGTATATAAGCCGAAAGACAACCTTGTTTCCACCCCTCTAGGAAATACTGCGCCTTCCTACCGTCCCGCTGCGAGAGACCCACAAGTTGGCAGTTCTCCTCTGGGCCTCTCTGTTAAAGGCATCAAAAGGGGTCAGCCCTTTTGGACACCCCAAAAGGAAGCGCCTGTCTTGTCCAGGGACATGGCGTTGCACACCGCGCCCATGCCGAACTCGCGGATGCCGAAGCGCATGTTGCGCTCCGAGTAGCTGCCCGACAAAAAGTCCCCGGAGCACTTCATCAGGGTCATGTTCCTTCGAACCCCAGAGTTGCCCGGCTTGGTTTCTGTGAGGAGCTGGAGTAAAGAACCAACTCGAAGCAACTGGAACAAAAAGACAAAACGCGTGACACTGAGCAGCCTCGTGCTACCCTTTGCCAACACAGCGCGGCAAGAATTGGCGCTTGAACATCCATGAGCCAAGCTTCGAGGGGGCCAGGTCCGCCGACCCACCCATGAACTCCGGCAGCACATTGGCGATCGCGTTGAGGCAGTCCTGGACCACGTTTGTTTGGCTCCGGCCAATCCACCCGCCACCCAAAACATCTTTCTTTGACTCCGGCGTCTGGCAGCGAAACAGACTGAATTCAGGCCGCAAGCTCACATCAACTAGGTTTTCTCCAGTAGAGAAGTTAGAATAAGGGTACCCTTTGTCTGTAGTCTATTTTAGTAGGGGAACCCTCCCCAAAAAAAGCGTAAAAGGGCGCTACCGGGGACCTAGTCACGCTGAACGCCCGGAAGCTCTGCCGGGCCTGCGAGTGCAAGCGGGTGGCCTTGCCCTTGTCCTCCGTGGTCAGCTTGGGCAGGCACTCCCGCCAGTTCCTCGGCCGGAGCCAGAAGCACCGAGCGGTAATTCTGGGAGTGAAAATGGATCAGAAGTAAGAGGCGACAGGAAAAGGAGGCTGGCAGGAATTTGAGGCTGGCATGAATTACCTTGAAGCAGCTCCTTCTTCTTTAGTTTTCGCTGGCGTTTAGGGCAAGCAAGACCTGGCAAAAGCAAGGTCGCGCGGCCCTGCTTTAAACCTCGCTTTGCACCGTGAAGATTGCGGTGCCTGTGGCGTCTTCACAGCCATGTATTTTATTTGCGGCAAAATGAGTCACTCAGCGACAAGCGCGGCAGAGAAGCAGCAGCAGCAGCCCTTCATCGCGAACCAAGCGTTCGTCTGTTTTAGGGGCCGCCCCCAGCGATACACAAAGACATCACAACCTTTAACTTCTATCTGTTAGCTCATCGCTCATCCTGCTCCCCAAGTTCTGACTCGCTGCTGGATGGCCAGGCACCTTCTACCCGGCATCCCAAGCTTGGCCATGGCGCTGACATGTGCGAGCATGCACACCGAAAAGTGACGTCGAGTTAGGCGGCGTGAAGCAAAATGAAGTGTCCGCAAGGGGCCGCTTGAATCATGGGTAACGCTTCTGGGCAAGGACTCCTTTCATTGACAGGTGTGGCTATTTTGAGCCCCCACATGGCCATGGGTCAAAACCCAAATCATACCCCCAGTGAACATCCCAATCCCCACTGTTCTAAAATGGGTGGTGCACCTATCCCAAAATGGGATCCATTGCTGTTGACCCACGGCCACAGCTCCCGAAAAAAAAGACGCTTCTTGCGGCCACGGCTTCTCTGGGAGCTTGCGGTCCAGCACGGCCCGCTCGAACTGCGCGGCCAGCTCCGGCTCCTTCTCCTCCGCACAAGGCGGACATGCGAAATCATCTGACAGCCACAGGCAATACATGTATAAAGTAAAGAGAGAAAGAGAGAAAGAGAGAAAGAGAGAAAGAGAGAAAGAGAGAAAGAGAGAAAGAGAGAAAGAAAGAAAGAAAGAAAGAAAGAAAGAAAGAAAGAAAGAAAGAAAGAAAGAAAGAAAGAAAGAAAGAAAGAAAGAAAGAAAGAAAGAAAAGAGAGAGAAAGAAAGAAAGAAAGAAAGAAAGAAAGAAAGAAAGAAAGAAAGAAAGAAAGAAAGAAAGAAAGAAAGAAAGAAAGAGAGAAAGAGAGAAAGAGAGAAAGAGAGAAAGAGAGAAAGAGAGATAAAAAAAGAGAGAAAGAGAGAAAGAGAGAAAGAGAGAGAGAGAGAGAGAGTGATGCGATATTCAGGTATTCGTGTACATGTACACATATAGTACATTCATACATTCATCGTACAACTGTGTGTGTGTGTGCATATATGTATAAACACACGGCTTCGCATTCTAGACAAGCTGTGTGGCAGCGTTGCTCAGTCCTGATACTCCTCCCACATCTTCTGCCAGGCCTTCTGCTTCTCAGCCCCCGCCTTTGCGTGCTTGCCTTGGTCGACACCCAGTGCTGAGCCACGGCCAAAACTGGCTGAAATGACAAAGTCTGGCTGAAGTGACTGACAACTGGCCAACTGGCCATGAAGGAGTTGCAAAGGGGGTGCAGAAGTCTCAGTTGCACACGCATGAAATGGCGCCAGCATGTGTTTAGAAAGCGATGAGCTCTGGGCAGACCCAGCCTGCAACTAGTGCAAGCTAAGCTGCGGAAGGTGTCATAGACCTGGTCCGGCACCTGCGAAGAAGCATAAGTCTGCGACTTTGCTTCCCCGCCAACAAAGTCAACAAGCCCTCCTGTTGCAGGTGTTGATTCATACCCCGGCAGAAAGGGCCTTACCGCGGCCCCCAACTCCTTCAACTCGTCCAACTTTTTGGACGCACCGTGGTAACAGCCAGGTGAACTCCGCACCCCGGGTCTCTTCCGGCTCCAAAGCTTCGGCGCCTCGAACTCCCCGTAGTTCCAGCCCAGCTGCTTGCGGGTGGCCTCCGCCTCGTCCGCGCCCAGCGGCGCCCCGTGGGCGTCGTGGCTGTCCGCCTTGTTCGGGGACCCGAAGCCGATGGTGGTCTTCACCTGCCGCTTCGCTGGCCCAGCAGCAAGTCTTGGCCCCAAAGGGGGCAGCGCTCCGAGGGATCACTTGAGGGAAGGGTCCAAACTGTGGGCCCAACTTGCTGCACCGTTTGGCACCCGGCTTCTTTGGAAACCCAAGGTGAGCCGACCCATCTTGCACTGGGAGCTTGGAGCTTGTGTCACCAAATGCAGGCGAGTCCTTCTAAGGCAAAGCCGATTTTCGGCTTCCGGAGCAGTACTTCGAATCTGCAGGGGGTAGAGCCAGGTGATTGCGTGTTGAATGGAGGGAGGAATTGCAGACATGTCCATTTGAAATTCAAGGCACGTCAAGTTGATGTCTCAAGGAACACTTTCAGCGGGAGTTTCGGGGGAGGGGGCGAGGGAGGGAGCGGGGGAGGGGGCGGGGGAGGGGGCGGGGGAGGGGGCGGGGGAGGGGGCGGGTGGCAAGCGTGTGGCTTGAGCATCTGGGGAAACGGGTTTGAATGCGCAACAACTTGCTAGTGCTCCAGCCATCCAACCAATCAAGCCTGCCTGATTCAACATCCACCGCATCAGACCAAGGGCTTCTGGTCACGTTCTTCGACCGAGAGCAGCTTCAGCATTGACCAAGGTGTGCCGTGAGGGCAGCAGCATATGCACTGCAAACGTTGACCACAAGCCACTTGGACGCGGACACCATCATCAATCGCCAACCGACTTCTCACCTCCCAACCTCGGTCTATGTTTAACCGGATGTTTGTTATATATACGTGTAACAAAATGCAACGAATACAACGGTGCGGTCCAACCGAATGAAAATGCTTGCAACATGGTATTTTGATACAAACGACAACTTCCAGCACTGCCTGGAATGACCAACCCAGGAGAGGGTTGAGCTTAACGGTCCTTTGTGGCTTTGAGAGTGATTTACTTTCCAGCAGAAAGAAAGCTTGACCGCGAAAGAGTGGACCACACCCTTGCCAGACCGTGACAGAGTACAAACATAGAAAACCAACAACATCTTCTCTAATCAGGTGCACTTCTTGAAATCAGCTTATTAACACAAAGTAACAAATACGTCTTCAGGAGCTCGCCCTCAACGCCTAAGGCGTTTCAACCAACCGCTCCCCTTCCGGGCCGGCGCCTTGATGAGGGTGGGCTTGTCGCTGCACGCCTTGGCCTCTTTGATGGCCTTGCGGATGGCGTCCACGTCGGTGTTGCCCTCCGACACCGTCAGCACCTCGAGGGAAGCAGCGCAGCACGACCCGAGGGCACCGTCAGTCCTCTTTTTTCGCAGATCTTGAAATGATCCAGAAACCAGTTGCAAGTGGAGAAGGATTTGTTGCTGTGTTTTCTGCATGATACCAAGTGCAAATTGGTGGCCCGCCTGCCAGCCGTAGGCCTCAAAACGCTTTCCCACATCCTCGGTGAAGGAGAGGTCGGTGTGCCCGTCAATGGTGATGCCTGCAAATGAAAAACTTTGGCTCGGTATTATCTGCTGCGTGTTCTTTCTGAGTGTCGCAGTCCCTGTTTTGGTACAATCTTTTCTCACGTTTACGGCTTCTCAGCTTCTCATATATTGCCTGGACGCTTTGGGAGGTCATATCTCTTCTCATTGCCATGCGTGTGTTGCTGCGCTTGATTGTGGCCTGCCGTGTTTATTTCAACGGCAAGGCGGTCATTTGGGGTACGGCTTCCGCGCCCATGAGCTCCGGATGCTTCCGCTTTCCACCTCATCTGGCCCCTGGCTCCGGCTTGCTACAAGAAAACATCAAAGCCAATTCAAGCAGGGAAGGATCCGGAAGGATCCTCCTCATCTACCAGTAAACCAATTTCAATCCAACTTGCAAAGGCGATTTGCTTGGAAATGGAGAGGGGATCCGCTTCATCAAGGAAAGTCATTGATTGGCCGAAGTGGACAACAGAGAAAAGAAACTCATGCCAGCGAAGCGTGCTTTGAACGGAGATGTGTCGCTTCCGCGCCCTGCTCCTTTTGAGACCTGACCATTTCGTTTTCCTCCTTTTCAGAAGCCAACCATGTTCCTCACATCTTTCCTTTTATGTGTAGATGTCACTAGCTTTGGCATCTGTTGGACCAGCTTCTTTGCTTTGTAGATTTTAGCATCTGTTGGACCAGCATCAAAAACCTGTTGTAGATGTCAGTCCCCAGGAAAAACCAACGAGGGACGCCAACCGTTGTCGTGCCCGGCCGTTGTCGTCGTAGAAGGCGATGAGCTTCCCGAGGCCCAGGTGCCCCGCGTAGGCGCAGGCCTCGTGGGAGATGCCCTCCTGCCTTGGGATGGTCCCCCTCCCGCCGGCGCCCAGATGAGGTCGACACGTTGTTCTTCTTGGTGCGTACGGTGTCCATATGTTCAACTAGAGTCATGTCTAAAATCATATATATATATATATGAAGAGATTCGCTAGTGCGCGCCTGCATACATGCATGTGTAATATATATATATGTCATATATGATCATAGAAATGTGCGTGTGAAAGCCTAAATCGACAAACCCTAGGCCCTATGCAGGCCTTTTCAAAGCTCAGTGATTGAGTGATTTATTCTAATAAACAGGTCTTGCCAGTTCGCACAACTTAAGTGGATCGCCTTCCACTTGCTGAAACCAATCTCTTACTCACTGCACTGGCCTGACTGGGTGCTACTTGTTGACTTCGGGCGTGTGCTCAAATGCATAAGATGAGCGACAGGCGCCTGCAAGCTGGTTATCAGGTGTTCTCAATGCTCAGCACAACGGAGTGTCTGAACAATTAGAGGCTTCCGGCAAGAAAGCCAAAGTGCAATGGAAATCACAAGCCTGCAAGAAGGGATCCAGAATCAGACATGCTACGCTCAAACACACGTCGATTCTTGACCCTACGATTCCCTAATAAAATCCTCAGCGAGATCAGGCGCATGCAGCCATCCCCGGCGATGGTGTAGGTGTAGTGGTCGATCAAAGGCATGTCGGGCCTCGGACGCGTTGAGAGTGCTGCAAAAGGCTGCCCCCCAAAAGTGGTGCAAGATCAATGCGGCCTTAAAATTGGCGTGTGTTTGATTTATTTCGAGACCCCTTCTTGGTTTTGAGGGACACCAAAACTGACCACCACCATTTGGGTCCCCTAAAAAGCCGGCTCTTTTCCGGGCTCTTCCCAAGGTCCCAGGAAGACGGGTGGCTTGTTGTAGACGGCGGCCAGGTGCGCCTCCGCGGCAGCCAGGCCCACGGCGTTGGAGATGCCCATGCCCAGCGGCCCCGTGGTCACCTCGATGCCGTCCGTCTCGAAGTTCTCCGGGTGGCCTCCCCGAAGCGGCGCCGGTGGCGGCGAGGCACCCGGAAGGCGAGGCGCGGCGCGCAGGGATGTGGCGCTGGGTGGGAGGGCAGGTGGTGTGATGTTTGTTTCTTCTTTGGGCGGTGTGGGCCAAAAACACCGCTTTTTGTTCGTGGGTCTGCTTGCAATTGAAGCTGAGACATATGGTATCTTCTCTTGTTTTGTGACGAAAAGATGTACAATACTCCAGGGTGTGGATGTTCTTCCCTTTCCAACTGGGCTTTCCTTGCGCTTTCACTTTCAAAGCCGCCCGTGGATCGGTTTCAACCCCGGGCACTCGGTGCTTCGCCCCCCCAGGCCTGGGGTCTTGGAGCCCCACTGGCGGAACTGCTTCAGGTCGTCCAGGCTCACGCTGTCGAAGCCCGCCAGGTGCAGCAGCGAGTACTGGAGCATGCACCCGTGCCCGGAGGACAGCACGAAGCGGTCCCGGTTCGCCTCAGGCGCCCGGAAAAGACCGGCGGTGAAGTAGAGGAAAGCGCTGGCACAGGCGGCAGTTCGAAAGCTTCCTTTCATAAAGCTTCTTGCTGAGCCATGAAGGAGTCTCGTAGTGACACAGGGCCAACCCTATTGTGCTGCATTCCGCTGAACCTTGGGATTCCATGCAACTCTGCACACTCCACGCCCAAACATCAAACCAATATACGGCAGTCCGCCCGTTCCCTGCCCCTTGCAATCGGGGCACCCACTTGGAGTCCTCAGGGTTGTACTGCATCTCCTCTGCGAAGAGCAAGTATCCGATGGGCGCCTGGCCCATGGGGGCTCCCGGGTGGCCGCTGTTGGCCTTGTTCACCGCGTCCACCGCCAGGAAGCGAATGGCGTTGATGCACTCGGTGTCCACGTCCACATCCGTGGCCGTCCCCTGGCGCACCACCTGCGAACCAGCATCAAATTGATTCAAAGTACGCGGCGACAAACATTCCATCCCTTCAGGCACACAGGCTGCAGAAAATTCGGCGGGGGGCAGCTCCGGAGATGTTCGGAGAAAATGCTTCGAACGCGTTTCGAGCATCGTTTCGAACACGTTGCGAGCACGTTTCGAAGACGTTTCGGAGAGGTTTCGGAGAGATATCGGGGTGGGGGATGTTGGGATGCCTCGCCTTGGGCGCCGCGGCGCGCTTCGGCCGCACCGCCCCCGCCGCGCCGGCCACCGCCACCGCCGCGCCGAGCACTGCGCCGGAGCTGCTGGAGGCGGTGGAGGCGGAGGCGGCGGCGCCGCGGGTGGCTGAGGAAGGAGCCACCGCTCTGGTGACAGGAGACACGAAGCTGGGTGCCAGCCTGGGCCGAAGCAGCAAGGGCCGGGGAGGTGGCTTGGGTGGTATGATTTGAAGTCTCCTGGCTGGATTGCTTCCGACTGATTGTGTTTGTGCGGCTATGATGCGTGTGTGGATGCCCCTTTGAACATAGAAAGAACCTCAACAACTAGCCTCAAGTGTTTGTGAACACCCACGAGTTCATGCTTATTCTATCTGGCTTGCGCGTAGGTGTGCCTGTTCGCTTTCACTGCACGCTGCTCCTTCGGCTGCAACTGCGTCCGCGGGTAACGGCGGTGGCGACAATCACATGCTTCTGGTGGTGACTACTGCTGGCAAGTGTCCACATGGACTGTTCTTGTGAAAACGAGTATTTTTTGGTTATTGGCTTGGTTGTCGGCCCAAAGGCTTAAACATGTGGCCCCCCCCGAATCATGGAAGTGTTTCCTCCAACACGCAACAATTTAAGGATTGGCGTAGTTTTTCGGTGTTGCTTACTTCCACCTTCTTGCTTCATGCCCCCGAAAGGTGCCCGGCTCCATGACCAGGGGAAAAACCGGACCATGTATTTTGTTATGGAAGAACGGGTTGGTGCAAACCCTATGTTGCACAACCATTCTGCCGAAAAGAGAAGCCGGCGCCAAGCCGCATGGTGGCCGCCGCGCCGGCCGCCGCTGCCGCCACGGCACGCTGAGATCGAGTGGTAGGCATCTCGAGGGAAAGCGGTAAAAAGGCAGACGCTGTAAGCCAAAATTGCTGAACCGGTTGCGCATCAGGTATTGTTTTGTCTCTCAAAAGATGGTCAAAATTTCGGGTCAGGTGCGGCCAGCACCCAGAATCCCCACTCGAGTTGCGAGCTGAAGAGAAAGCCGAAGCCAAAGTCCAGCTCTCCGGCTGATTCGTAGCAGGTCCCTTGCATTGGAAAGAACATGTCAGCAAGTCGAAACAGCACTCGTCACTCCACAAATGGTATATGATTCTGCTCACTTTCGCCCGGAATCGTCAACGAAACCGTGCCCAACCGCTGGCTGACCTGGCAGCCCAGCGTGCAGCTGTTGCCAAGCTCCTGAAAGCTGTGACCCGTGGGTGTCCACGCAAGCTGTTCTGTGTGTTGGCGAATGGGGGTTTCGCGGAGAATGGCATTGAGACGACCAACAGGCGACAGAACAACGATTTTTGGAGACGGTGACAGGCAATTGGCATCCCTTGGAGTATCGGCCTTGGTCCTGAAAAAGTGTGAGACACGTTATATACTTGCTCTGCAGCATAAACCTTGACTAGCCTAACCTCCTGGTCCGGTAGCCCACTTCTCCTGAGCAGCATTCCCACCTCAACTGTTGTATTCAATAAAAGATACATTCTTGGATTCTGGTCCATATGTAGTGAACCCTGATTCTGGTCCACTTTTCGTGAACCCTGAAATAGGTTATGATGCCATTTGAGAGGTGTCCGATTCCTTCCCATCCTAGGTCCTCCAATAGAGAGGTTAGAATAAGGGTACCCTTTTTTTCTGTAGTCTATTTTAGTAGGGGAACCTTCCCCCCAAAAAGAAACGGTGAGAAAGGGCACCAATTGCTGGGGGACCTAGAATCCATTCCGGGCATTCCGGAACGTGACGCGGGGCATCGCTGGGCATCGCACCTGGCAGCTGGCGTCGTGCCAAAGCTCAGAGTCATCCGTGGAGTTCTCGAGCACTGCCCACCTGAGCACTTGTGCATACCCCCGAAACGTTTCGGCTCGGTGGTGTCCAGGTGGCGCTTCCTTTATAAGAGCCGCCACAAGGGTGGGGGGACCTTCCAAAGACTTGGTTGACGTTGGAAGGGGAGCAAAAAATGAAAATGTTAGCAGCTAAGTGGTTGGATTTCCCTCTAAACCACAATGAGCAAAAATGTAAAATGTTTCCCAACAACAACCATGAAGAGACCCCCATCCATATTTTTGAAGTGTCAAAACAAGGGATCCTTTCGGCACAAAGGAACCCTGCGATGTGGAGGTCCCATAGTTGTGCCCATGCTAGCACGGATAGGCTCGATTCCAATGGAAGTTTTGGATGTCCTACCTGCCCTGCCTTGATTCAACTTGACACGGATTTGAACTGGGAATCCGAACGTCTGCCCGTTCCCAAAACGGCAACGCAAGGCAGGCTTGAGACGTTGCCGGGCAACACGCAGGCACAATGCATATGCTCCGAGCACTCGAATTGTATGATCTATTCTAACAAAACTGGGTTTACAGAGCAGACCGTTTGCAGCCCTGAGTCTGCAAGCTGCCCAACCCGCAGGCAACGTGTTTCTGACTGGCCGGCACATGACTGCTACTACTGTCACTTTTCATGAGGGATCAATCAGAAGTCTTCCCAGCGTTCCTCATGCGCCTCGGCCATAGTTCGACATTGCCAGTACAATGGTCTAGACCATATGAACGTCTCAAGCCGGAGCTGTGGATTCTTCCTCTACCGTGGGTCACACAGGGGCAAAGACTACACTGAACGCCATGTACGAGCCTCAGCTGACGGACTGCAGCCAGGTTGCTGAACTTGGTAGCGCAGGAAAATACCTCGAGCTTGAAGGACCAATCCAACAGAAAAGACAAAGAAGCACGAAGACTGGGATGGCATTTTGTTGCGCAATAGAACCTGTGGGGCGATTGACGTGCTTCCGGCCAGAACTACCATGCTTGTGCGATCATATCTGGCTTCCTGGTTTCTATCAAGAACTAGTTGATGAAGTCAATTCCATGGCTGATGAGTTCACAGTGGACAAACAGTCTCACCTCATTAAAATTAGACCACCTGAAGGGTTTGCAAAAATCATACGAAACAAACCTAAACGTACCGAGAAACCTACACTTGTTTCAGCCCCAAGTCCGTCCTTGCGCCAATGCAAGCTCTGACAATACCCGATCACCTTCATTACAGACAAACACCTCCTCCCTCAGCTAAAAGCAACATCTTTTGCCAGTGTTTGCTTCGCATTTCGCCTTGTTTTTCTTTTTCGTGTTTGTCCTTGTTCTTTATTTATTTCTCTCCGCCGTGGCGCAGTCGTTGAGCTGCGGCTGCGTCCACGTCAGCTGCACTTCATCGAAGGAGGTCACGGAGGCAGACAGGCCTGCGTAACGCGCTGCTCTGTGCCGGACTGCGCTCTCAAAATGTTGGTGTCTTAGTGGTTGGCTTGCCACAACTGGGGATCGTGCCTTTGGCTTCTCTTTTAGGCAATTCCTAAAAGACGACCGCCCCATTCACTTGCTCTTTCCATGGAAGCACCAGCAATAAGCAACACGCAAGCATGATGGGTGATGGGATACAAACCCATGGAGCCCAAAATGACTGTCTAGATCTGATCGTTTGTCGCCTCTAGAAGGGATACTTGCGCCCAAAGTGAAAAAGAAGAAGCTTGCTTGAGCATGAAGACTACCGGCTTTTCCCCTGAGTCAGAGCCTCCCTAAGAGACGCTCCTGGTCTTCAGAACTTGAAAAATAAATGGACCATCGCCAGCACTCAGAGGCTCCATGGGGTTGAAGAGATTCTCTTCCCCTCATACGTCGCCAAGATGGAAAAGGAGGAAAAGCAACGCTACGGGGAACCAAGTCGGCCCGCTGCACCCCGAAATGATTAGCGGGTCTGCGGTTGTAGTGGTGCTCGCAAGGCACGATCCAACCAGGTTGTAAGCTTCCGAGCGGTCATTGATACGGGACAGGATGCATCTGGTCTGCTCATTGTAGGACTTACCGAAAAGGTCTTCGCCACAGCCAGGGATGACACGGTTGGTGAGCTTGTACCATGCAGCGGCAGACTTCCAGCCGTAGGCGGCAGTTTGAAAGAAGCTTTTGCCCAGCGAAGTGACAGTGCTGGCGTAGTTCTGTCCCGGGAAGAGCTGGTCCATGTCTGCTGCATTGGTCTGCCAATTCCCTGGAATCATGTGGATCAACCCAGCACCGCCGTCCGCAGGCTGGTATAAGGTAGAATAGTAGCCAGTTTCGTAAGCTACTTGGGCCAGCAGCTTGTGGATGGCATCGCCATCGTTGCACTTGTTGATGGCTGGGTCTGTCAACATCTGGTTCAGTGCATCTGCCCACTCCTGCGTGCAGTATTGGCCAAACTCGTAGCCGGCAGGTCCTGCATTGGTCTTGTCCTGGCTGGGGTCGCACTTTGGCCAAAAGCTCGACTTGCCATTGATGCACATCAAGGTCTCGTGGGAAACACATTGGGTCACCATTGCCCTGGCTGTCGTGGTGGTCGTGGTGGTTGTTGACGTCATCGTGCCAGGGGTTGTGCTCGCAAGGCACGATCCAACCAGGTTGTAAGCTTCCGAGCGGTCATTGACGCGGGACAGGATGCATCTGGTCTGCTCATTGTAGGACTTGCCGAAAAGGTCTTCGCCACAGCCAGGGATGACACGGTTGGTGAGCTTGTACCATGCAGCGGCAGACTTCCAGCCGTAGGCGGCAGTTTGAAAGAAGCTTTTGCCCAGCGAAGTGACAGTGCTGGCGTAGTTCTGTCCCGGGAAGAGCTGGTCCATGTCTGCTGCATTGGTCTGCCAGTTGCCTGGAATCATGTGGATCAACCCAGCACCGCCGTCCGCAGGCTGGTATAAGGTAGAATAGTAGCCAGTTTCGTAAGCTACTTGGGCCAGCAGCTTGTGGATGGCATCGCCATCGTTGCACTTGTTAATGGCTGGGTCTGTCAACATCTGGTTCAGTGCATCTGCCCACTCCTGCGTGCAGTATTGGCCAAACTCGTAGCCGGCAGGTCCTGCATTGGTCTTGTCCTGGCTGGGGTCGCACTTTGGCCAAAAGCTCGACTTGCCATTGATGCACATCAAGGTCTCGTGGGAAACACATTGGGTCACCATTGCCCTGGCTGTCGTGGTGGTCGTGGTGGTTGTTGACGTCATCGTAGCAGGGGCGGTGCTAGCAAGGCACGATCCAACTAGGTTGTAAGCTTCCGAGCGGTCGTTGACGTAGGACAGGATGCATTTGGTCTGGTCATCGTAAGACTTATCAAAAAGGTCTTCGCCACAGCCAGGGATGACACGGTTGGTGAGCTTATGCCACGCTGCCACTGACTTCCAGCCATAGTTGGCGGTTTGAAAGAAATCCTTGCCCATAGCGTTGGCAATGATGGCGTAGTTGTATCCCGGGAAGAGCTGGTCCATGTCTGCTGCATTGGTCTGCCAGTTGCCTGGAATCATGTGGATCAACCCAGCACCGCCGTCCGCAGGCTGGTATAAGGTAGAATAGTAGCCAGTTTCGTAAGCTACTTGGGCCAGCAGCTTGTGGATGGCATCGCCATCGTTGCACTTGTTGATGGCTGGGTCTGTCAACATCTGGTTCAGTGCATCTGCCCACTCCTGCGTGCAGTATTGGCCAAACTCGTAGCCGGCAGGTCCTGCATTGGACTTGTCCTGGCTAGGGTCGCACTTGGGCCAGTAGCTTGATTTGCCATTAATGCATATCAGGGTCTCGTGGGAAACACATTGGGTCACCATTGCCTCGGCTGTCGTAGCCGTTGTGGCTGTTGCCGGTGTGGTTCCCTGTACTGTGGTTGTGGCAACGTCACTGCCGCCTACGACCCGGATATCTGCACAGTTCCTGAACTCCTCGCCGCACGCACAGCGGGTGCAACCCGCGTGTTCACCTGTGCCGGGGCAGCTGGTGGCTCTGAACCAGCTGGAGGGGTTGTAGCCGTTCTGGCTCAGCAGCTGAGCGTAGCAACCATAGCCCTCACCGGGCGTGCAGCTGTTGGCTGTCCACCACCTCCACTGCAGGGTGCAGTGCTCGCACTGCAAAGCCGAAGGAACCTTGACATGGTTGCAAGGAATAGCCCGTGCAACCAAAAATACTCCCTTACCCCGTGTAGCAAACATGCCATGTTCCACAGATTGGCTCGAACAGCCAGGTCCCCAATACTACTTTTGGTTTAGGCCAATCCAAAACCAACATTAAACTGTCCGATGTCTCCGACCAGACCCAACCCAGTCCAACAAACTGTCTGTCTTTCTTACCCTGCGAGGTGCTTACCATGACCAATCAAAAGCGAAACGTCTTTGAACAGCTTGATTTTATGCCCGTTTTGTCCCCAGACCTGATTTATTAATAGGGGGGTCCGAGTTTATTAGAGGGAAGGAATTAAACCATCCGTGTCACTACTTTGTCCTTTGCAAGGGAACCTAAAACCCAAGTCCTTGAGGCTCACCGTGTGCACGTTGCTGCCGTCAGGGCTGAAGCTGCCCGGCGGCAGGTAGAAACGCTCCGGGTGGCTCACGTCGATTGGCTGGCACCCGGGATGCTTGTCATTGGCCGCGCAGCTCAGGCCCAGCTCCTCCTTGCTGGCACGCTCCAAGATGAACTCATCCAGGCAGCTTTGTGGATCCGCCAGGCTTGAGGTGATCTTTTGGTTGCAAATGCTGAATTCGAAGTGGCCCATGTGGTGCGCCGTAATTCGAATGGTGACCTCCTGAATTGTCCCAGCAGTCCATGTGACTACAGGATCAGACCCGGTATCCACATAGTTGCTGTTGCTGGCCCACTGGCCCCCGTCGCCGCACACGCCGGCGCCATTGCCACAATGTGGGCACCACTGGTTCTTGGCTCCGGCCTCGATGTTGCGCGCAGCGGGATGCTCTATAAAGCCATGCCCCTGGACACCCCAGAGTAGAAGCAGCAAGTGCCATGCCATCCTTAAGATGCCGCACAGTGCCTCTCACAGCTGCCTCATATATTCTTGAACCAAGGCGAGATCCATTCAGAACCCTCAGTCCATGGGTCTATGGTGGAACCAAATGCAAAAATTCCCCGGCTTCTCGTTGAAGTCTCTTTCCTTCCGCCCAAAAAGGGAACCCTGAAAAAACGACGCGCCCCAAATCCTCTCCTATCTGAACTGGTAAACTCTGATGGGACCCAAACACCGCCAGGAGGTGCTGGCCACCTCCGCTTGCTGGTCCGTTTGGATCAGTTTGGCTCATGTTGAGCCACCAGATTTCAATTTGCCGCGACCGTTTGCCCCCCCAAATCCTGCAACCAAACTTCAACCGACCAGACAGAAGCGGAACATGGCGGCATAGCCAAACTGTCACCAAAGGTGACCAAGCCGAAAAACAGAAACAACTTGGAACAAACGGCTGTCTCTTCCTTTTTCTGAGGCTGCCCCTTGGTCTGCTTCAAAGGGAAACCAAGAGGAAAAGTCGGTTGCGCCAGTTGTGGCGGTCCCCCAAAACAGCGACGGACTCACCTCCGTCTCCCTCTCCGCGCCTGGGCTCTCGGCGGCGGCCACGGCGGTTCGCGCCAACGCCACGTCGCTCCACGGGGACCACGTGCTCTCCACCAGGCACCGCTCCCGCAGCCTGGCGACGGCCGGCCCGTAGTGTAGAGAAAGGTTCATGGGCATAGGTGTCCTTTTAGGGCAAATAGATGGATTTCCCTGGTAGATGAGAAAAAAACCACCAGGCGCAAACCTGGAATCGCCAGCTATTTTTCGACCAACACAACCAAAAAGGACACCTATGCCCATTGGGGTTGAGTCCCTTACTTCCAGTGGGCCAAGTTCGAACTTCTCCAGGAACTCAAAAAGTGAGCATCCCCTTAGCCGGGGAATTGTGCGCCCTGAAAGGTCTCCGATAGGTTTGTTTGCCCGTAGCCTTGTTGAGCTTTATGCAACACAATGGACAACGACTTCCTATTCCTGGGGGTACACTTGGGATACACGGAACCGGCAGAGAGTGCCTCTTTTATTTGTTGCGGTGTTTAAGGAAAGCCACGAGGAAAACCGCCATTTTGGGGGGTGCCCTAAAAAAGACACACCAATATCCAGCCCACAGCTGAGGAATGAAAGCCGCCTGAACTCGTAGGCTGTGGAGGACATCAGCCCCGTGGCAGTGCAACGCGGAGGAAGGCGGGGGCTCTGCTCGCAGCCTGGCAGACAGCTGAGATTTGCCATCGGGATGAAAAACAGACAGGTGGAACCCTCGGATTCCTTGCACCGAAAAAATTGCGCTGGAGCATCATTAAAAGCACAGGCAAAGCTCGGGCAGCTCGGTGGCTTCCTGAAGTCTGAAGGGTGCTTCCGCTGAGGTGCATGTCCCATGCTTGCACCTGGTTGCAGTGCCTCGCTTCATCCCACATAAGCATTATACATCTCATCCTAGAGCCAGACATGTTTTGCATTGGAGCCCCAAAAACAATAATTATTGAAGGCATCTCCTTGACCTCCTAGTTGGGTTCCAAGTTAAGTAGGGGAGTGACCCCCGTCCCAGCCAATGCCCTAGCTGGCGGCAACATTGCAGCGTTTTCGGGTCGCCCTACTATGGTTGGGCGAAATCCTGCTTGGTATTTACAAGGGAACCATCAGAATCCGGGGGTTCTTACATCTTTGTCCTCCAGTAGAGAGGGTAGAATAAGGGTACTACCCTTTTTTTCGTAGTCTATTTTAGTAGGGGAACCCTCCCCCAAAAAAGGGGTGAAAAGGGCACCTGCCTGGGGGACCGAGACATGGTGCGAAATGGATCTCGTCCATCCACAGTACTGTGGATGGACGACCTAAGCAACCCTGGAATGAGGATTGCCCTGTCCAACATGGTTTGAAAGTGGTGCAGGAATTCGCAACCATCCACAGCTAGCTATGACCCGAGAACCAAACGCGCCGCGCGAAGTTCTCTCCTCGCGGACGCCCGACGGCCTTCCGCCGAGAGCCAGGTGCCGCCGCCGGCACGGAGCTGCAGATCCCAGTGGAGGAAGCTGCAGTCGTTGGGGCTGCCTGCACCCAGCACCAAGCACGCCCCAAGCAAGCACCAAGCAAGCACCAAGCCAAAGTAAAGTACTTGGCACATCTTCTTCCAATCAGAAGTATCTTTCATGTTTTTCTGCCGCCGGGTGAGAAGCGCAGGTATGCTTCTCCGCGCCCTTCGAAAATGTATGCCAGTCAAATGTCTTTGAGCCCTTGGAAGTTTCCGTGGACTGCGTGGCACAGTCACCAGGCCCATTGTTGCCATTCCACAAACGAGACTCGTTTCCTGACAGCCTGAAGCATCATCTGCGCAAGAATTGCGCAGCCCTGGTAATGTCGCAAGAATACAAGAAAAGTACGTGGCGATTGGCTTGTGTCGGAACTCGGGAAGTCAAAATGCTCTGCCCCGTACATTCTCGGTCCAAACCCACAGGCCCGTGCCCAAGCTGCCTTCTTGTATACTAGACAATCATGAAGCGAGCGCAGAGAGAGAGAGAGAGAGAAAAAGAAAAAAAGAGAGAGAGAGAGAGAGAAAAAGAAAGAGAGAGAGAGAGAGAGAGAGAGAGAGAGAGAGAGCGAGAGAGAAAAAGAGAGAGAGAGAGAGAGAGAGAGAGAGAGAGAGAGAGAGAGAGAGAGAGAGAGAGAGAGAGAGGGGGGAGGGAGAGAGAGAGAGAGAGAGACCCCACCTTTCCGCGTCTGGAATCTGGGATCTAGTCCGCCCATTCTCTGCTGCGAACATGTGGGGATGCAGTCATGTGGTTGCTCCGTACACTTGTAAGCTTTGAAGACCCAGTGAAATGAAGTCCCTAGTTTGGAACATTCCTTGCCCACGTCCAAGGATGGTCCGCGTCTGCAAGAAGTTGGACACGTGAACAAGCCGGTCTGTCCTTCCCTCACGGCGAGTGAAATGTTGCCCTTTAGAGCACTTGGGAGTTCGATTCGCCAAGTTAGAAAGTCGTTGTTAACCTAGGTTACAACCCACTAACGACTAGGGGTAACCCATTCTTTGGGCTATAACCAATGTGGCTAACCACTTACGGGCGAATCGAACACCCAAGCAGCAGATGTCGTTTTGAACGCACCGCGGCTCCTCCCCTTTCCGCGCCGCCCCGAAATCGCGTGCCTCCTTCCCACGACAGCTCCGCGGCGCTCGGCCCGGCTGCCACAGCGCTGAGGCTGCCGGGCATACCAGCGGCCAATAGGCAGCTGTCACCTACGGGAATTTGCGCATGCCCAAACCAAGTGTCCATAGGGTTTGCAGCAAGAAGTTCATTTTGCTTCCGGATCTAGATCTGCCTTCTGCCGTCTGACTGGCCTGTCAATCCTGAGATGCACTCCTTTGGCCCGCAACCTGGAGCTCATGCCACGCTTCCACCCGCGCGACATGTCTTCCGCGGCGCCTTCTTTCGTTCTAAAGCTTGTGGTGCTGAAGTCGCTCACCAGGTCGGGCTCCTGCACAGGGACAGGCCCTGTTGGCCTCCAACAGGCGGCTATGAGTTTATCTGTTTTGGCAGCCACCATTCTCCAATACACAGAATCCAGCGACGCGCCGCGACGTTCAAACGATATCAGATCACTCTGGTTTGGCCATGACTAGATGGCCACAAGATAACTCGGGAGGCGAAGGACACATAACACAGCAGGTCAAGTCATTGGACTTGCCAAGGCTGACAAAACCCTCACAAGTTTGCACCATCCATAAGCAAGTGTCAAAAGCACGCGGTGTCATATCCCCTTTGTCAAACTCAAAAAAGAAGACTAGCGCTTCAACCTGGCAGTCGCTCTCCTGGCATGTGGCGGCCACGCGGAGGGAGTAACTCGTGTCGCACTTAAGGTCCCGCACATTGCCTGGGCGCGACTTGGCAACTCGGTGGTCCGCGTCGGGTGGAGATACTGGGCTGACTTGGTTCTTGCTCGGGTTCAAATTTACCTACCGTATAGCAAGGCGAGTAACCTAACCCTTCCCCGGTCAACCAAATTCTACGTTCCGCTCCAACAAGCCTGCCTTCGCGTGACAAGTCTGGACACTGTCAAAGGCATCTAAAATGGTTGAGGCCATGAGTTCTGGCTTCATCAAGCTCGGCCTGACAGGTGATCTCGGAGAAAGCTTGACAGAGACAGATGCACAAAGGGAAGGAAAGGAAAGAACAGCATAGGATGGACGCATGGCTGCATGGCTAGATGGATGGATGGACAGATGCATAGATAGATAGATAGATAGATAGATAGATAGATAGATAGATAGATAGATAGATAGATAGATAGATAGATAGATTAGATATATATATGTGTATATATATATATATTAATATCTAAATGTAATATGGATAGATGCAGACATAAGTAGATAGGTGGATAGATGGATGGATAGATAGATAGATAGATAGATAGACAGACAGATAGATAGACAGACAGATAGATAGATAGATAGACAGATAGATAGATAGATAGATAGATAAATAAATAGATAGATAGACAGAGCAGATAGATAGATAGATAGATCTATCGATCTATCCCGCTGTCGCTCTATCTCCCTACTTGTCTCTCTATGGCTCCTTCTATTTTGTTTATCAATCTTTTTATCCACCCACCTATCTACTCAATCCATCTATTTGTCTATCTGTTTAACTATGCAGCTACCTATCTATTTGTCTGTCTGTCTGTCGACACACAGATAAATTAGAGAGAGCGAGAGCGATAGCGAGAGCGATAGCGATAACGAGAGCGACAGCGATAGGAGGCAGGCAGGGAGGGAGGGAGGGAGGGAGGGAGGGAGGGGGGAGGGAGGGAGGGGAGGGAGGGAGGGAGGGAGGGAGGGAAGGAGGGAGGGAAGGAGGGAGGGAGGGAGGGAGGGGGAGGGAGAGACAGAGAGAGAGAGAGAGAAAAAAAAAGAGAGAGAGAGAGAGATAAAGATAGAGATTGAGACAGAGATAAAGATAGAAGTAGATATAGATGCA